CAGCTTATTGGTCCAGTTTTGAAGATTTTCGTTTTCTTTAGGGTTGAAATGTAGTCCATACTGCAGACTGTAGTCTTGACTCTTCATCAGTAAGTGCTTCAAGTCATCCTCACTTTCAGCAAGCAAAGTTGTGTCATCTGCAGATCACAGGTTGTTAGTGAGTCTTCCGCCACTACTGATGCTGCATCCTTCAGTATTGCAACTCAAGGCTTGAATTTTTTTCTTTAGTTCTTTCAGCTTGAGAGATAGCAAGCATGTTTTTCCTTTTTTTTTTTTTTTTTCTCTCTAACTCCAGGTCTTTATACATTTCAATATAATGTTTTACTTTGTCTTCTCAAGCCACCCTTTGAAATCTCTGTTCAATTCTTATTTCACCATTTCTTCTATTCTCTTTAGCTACTCTCCGGTCATGAACAAGTTTTAGAGTTTCTTCTGACATCCACTAAGTGTTGCAAAATGATGGTATTATAATGTTATCATTTTTCTTTATTACCCAGAATATTTCTATGAAGAAAATTCCTCATATCTACTAGATGTCACTTGGTTTATAGAAGGAAGATTTGCCATTATATAAAGAGTTCATTTTCTAAGATCCTCCAGTATTGGAGGATGACTTTTAATTTTTTAAAAAGCCTGGAAACTTTTAAGATCTTCTTCTATGCTTTCAATTCATGAATTTTGCAAGGATGTGTCTTGTTGGCCTTTTTTCCCTCCTTGGATGTCTGGAACTTGAACACTTCTATCTTCAGTCTAATGTCTTTCTTCAGTTGAGGAATATTTTCTTCTACTATTTGTTTAATTGATGCTTTCCCTAAGTCTGCCTCCCCCCCCCCGCCAGCTCCTGTCATTAGTATTTGTTCTCCTGAATCTTCTTTCCATGTGTCAAATCTTGTTATACAGGATTTCTGCCTCTTTGTAGTTGGCTCTGTGTTTCTGAATATTTCTTCTACTTGATCTTTGTGGTGGTTATGTTTGTGTGTCAACTTGGCTGGGTCTGGTTGAGTGGCTGGGCAGCTGGTGGTAGTATTCCCCATGATGAGACTGGTAATCAACTGTATGGTGGAATCTGCTGTGAGCCGCTGAGTAGCTGCTTTAGTGATGTGGTCTGCTTCCTGTATATAAGGAGAAGCTGTGAAACAGTCTCTATCTTATGGCACGCTTGAACCCTGCATAGAGCCATGTCGTTGCTCAACAGCCTGCCATGCTCTGCTGACCTTGGGACTTTCAATGGACTTGAATCAATGGCCTATTGTATGGTTTGGTAACATTGGGACTGTGCCATTTTATTTGTCGACCTTGGGCTTGTTGGCTCAGCAGCCAGTAGCTCCCTGAGTGAAGAGATCCCTCCAAGCTTCAGTGGACCGGGAGCAAGAGGTAGAGCTGAAGTCCAAGGTCAAGGGGCTTTCACATAGCCCTTAGAGCTTGGCACTTTGAACTCGGACTTCTAGCCTCCCAAAGTATAAGAGAATAAACTCCTTTTTGTTCTAGCCATCCTATTTGTGATATATTCTTGTCAGAGTGGCCCTAGGTAACCAGAACAATCTTTTAGACAATTTAAGTGTCAACGATGTCTATCCAATTCTTGAATTAAAAAAAAAAAAAAATGCCATTGAATTGATTCCAACTCATAGTGACCACCATTGGGTTTCCAAGGCTGTAAATCTTTACATAACTAGATTGCCTCATCTTCCTCCTGTAAAGCAGCTGGTGGGTTGAACTGCTGACCTTGGGGTTAACAACCATATGCCTTATGCATTATGCCACTGTTGCTGCTGTTATGTGCTGTCAAGCCAGATCCGACTCATAGTGACCGCTCCTTGGGTTTCTGAGGTGGTATCACTATGGAACTAGATTGTCCAACCTTCCTTCCAAGGAGTAGCTGGTGGGTTTGGACCACCAGCCTTCTGGTTAGCAGTCAAGTGCCTTAGGCACTACACTACCAGAGTTTCCTGTCATATATTTCTTCTTAAATTTCTCTAAGTTTTCAGTATTATAGTTCTTTCACTTCTTTTGCCAGATTAATCCCTAAGTATTTCATAATTTTTGATTCTTTGTAAATTTTGATGCTGTTTTAAATTTCAAGTTCCAGCTATTCATTGCTAGTATAGATATATAATTGATTTTCATTTATTGATCTTTTTTCCTTCAACTTTGCTAAACCTTGCAGATATTCACTTGAAAGTTGTAGGTCGGCCAGTTGAATTTTGCACACATATGATCATGTAGGTAATCCATGATTAAAGACAGTTTATTTCTTCCTTTCCAATCTTTTTATTTCTTTTTCTTGCCTGATTACAATGGTTAGAACCTCTACCACAATGTTAACATGGTAGCAGCAGAAATCCTTGTCTTGGTGAAAAAGCAATCTTTTATTTTAAGTATAATATTAGCTATAGTATTTTCATCATTGGGAAAGGCAACTGTGAAGGAACTGTATCAAGTGCTGAGGAGCAAGGATAGCTCCTTGAGGACTAAGGTGCGCCTGACACAAGCCAGGATATTTCCAATCACCTCATATGCATGTGAGAGCTGGACGATGAATAAGGAAGACCGAAGAAGAGTTGATGCTTTTGAGTTGTGGTGCTGGTGGAGAATGCTGAAAGTACCATGGACTGCTAAAAGAACTAACAGATCTGTCCTGAAGGAAGTACAGCCAGAATGCTCCTTGGAAGCAAGAAT